TGGTTGATATCTGCAGTGACGATATGTCCAATTGTATTCTGACAGTAGATACTTACTTTTTATCAGCTCCTTCACATATCAGAGCTAGCCTTGGACTCACTGTGATAACAGGATCACTAAACAACATAACAACAGATGATGGAGGAATGGGCAGTAGAAGCTGTGACTTCATCATAGGAGAATTCACACGTCAGTCATTAGTGATATCTACGTCAACTGCTGGAATCTTACTACTCATTACTCTGCTAGCTGCTGCCTTTGGAACTGTTGGTTGTATCGTTAGCATCCAAACTAGGAGGAAGTGGACTTTGGGTGGAGGATTGAACAAGCTTTATTTTCAAGATGATGCCATGTCCCTAGCTACTAATGATCCTGAGTCTTATGAACTCATGAATCGACTCGGAGAAAGGAAGACAGCAACTCTAGCAATTAATGATGACAATGAATATTAATAATATTCTAATCTTTCTCTTTTTCTTCACATATACATAGTTAATACATCATGACTTCCATTTTATTTATTGTTGATTTTGTCTTTTATTTCGTAATAAAGTCTAAACATTCGGATACCAAAGTCAAAATGGCATATCTCTTCATTGTTACATTGAGTATACATTAAGCCCCTGGCCACACAAGCTGCTCCATGTACTAAAATTCTTAATTGCTTTAGCTCTAATTTGTGTGCAAACCCAGAAACCTGCTAACAGTTACAATCTGTGGTGATGTCCTCTGGCAACCACACAATTATGACAAGCCGTACTATTGTAGTGAGACCAGTTCCGTATAATAGGATGGAGCCTATATAAACCAGACCAGTCTCCACATTCCGTCACTCTTGTTCCGATTAATTCAGGATCTGCCCAAGGTCGTTGCTCATTCCTTCTCTGAAGTCGCCATGTCTCTTAATCTCTCGATTATGCTGATCCTTCTTTCAGTGACTGCTCTTCTTTCAAGTAGGTCCTTTATGTTTTTATAATTGTTTTAAAATTTTGTTTATATTTGTAGCCAGCGAGGCTAATGGAGCTAGGACCTTTGTCTTTGGGATACCACAAAACGTAAGAGATCAAGCCTCTTATTCTAAAATCATCATCACCACAGTCAGCAAGGAGACTCTCCGGGTCAATGTAACGCTGGGTGGCGGTCTCCAATACTCAGGCACTGTCAGTGCTAGCCACAGCTACAGTCTTAGCATTCCAGAAAGCCTCATAGTGAAGAACTCTTACTCCCAGGACAGAAATAAAGGAATAATAGTTGAAGCCTCAGGCGAGGTTGAAGTAACAGCCTACAACAGACTCACTACAAGTACTGAGTCGATTGGTGCATTCCGTGTACTGCCATACAGCTCACTCCCTGAGCTGTACCAGTATAGATACATTGCTGTTAGTACTGGTAGTACATTCAAGTTTCATGGACTCATACTGCTGGTAGGTTGTGAGGAGGAGACTATCGTTAACATCAAACCATCCGTTACCGTAGAAATGCCTCAAGATCTTCAACTAAGCAACTCAAACATAACAGTTGTCGCTGAAGGACAGAATCATCAAGTGGTTTTACACAAAGGACAAACGTTACTTCTAAAAGTTCTTAAGGGAAATTTCACCGGAACAGAAATAATCTCAAACAAACCTTTAACAGTGGTGAGTGGACACGAGTGTGGACGAATGCCTGAGTCAGAAGGAGGCTGTGACCAGTTATTGGCTCAAATACCGCCTACAGTAACATGGGGAAAGGACTTCATTCTCCTTCCACTCTCTGGGCGTATATCTGGACACATCTACAAAGTAATAGCTTCTCAGAATGATACAACTATCAATCATAACTGCAACGACACTGTGGGTAGTCCTTTTGTTTTATCAGATCGTGAAGTCATGGAGTTTTGGTCACCTAGTGACAGGTCCTGTCACGTCAAAGCTGATAAACCAATAATGGTAGCTCAGTTCAGCTTAGGACAGGACACAGACGGAGTGGGGGACCCTACCCTAACTATCGTACCTCCAAAAGAACAATATGTTCATGAGATATCATTTAAGAGTTTCTCTGGAGACAGTTCAATCAATGATCAATACATGAACATTATTGTACCTTCTGACTGCTTCCATCATAATCTAATCAGACTAGATGGGGAGGTTATAATGTGCGAATGGAGTCTAGTGTATTCCTATGACTCAGAGACAGTGATTGGCTATACTTGCAAGAAGTCATTAGAAGCAGACACAGTCCACACTCTAACTCACATTAAACCAGGAGGACACATGGCTCTCTCAGTCTGTGGATTCACAGGGAGAAAGGGTTACGCCTACAACGCTGGGTTTGCCTTGCAACCTCTCAACTCAAGTAAGCATTGTTCTGTTCTATTTACTTGTCACTTGCCATTACTAGTATCACTTACAATCATTATCATTGTATAAACAACCACTGCCACAACAATGCAATTAATGATTCACTGTCTGTCTGTCTGTTCTCTAGTTGTAAAGGTTCTGTTTTCAAAGAGCAGCTACCAGGTGAGGGAGAATGATGAATACGTGCTAGTTCAAGTTACAAGAATGGATGATGTTGTCTCTCCTGCTGGAGTTACAGTAATAGCATTGTCTGGAACAGCACGTAAGTGTTAAAAGGAATTCTAATCAAAGAATGTACAAACAAATACTGCACAAACAACTTGAGAAAAATACCATTATGTGTCATGTTAGCAGACAATGTGTCTAACAGGAACACACTTGTTCTTATGTTGTTATCATTACCTCTCTCTCTCTCTCTCTCTCTCTCCCTCTCCAGATTCTTCTAAAGATTATGTCCAACTCAAACAAGACTTGATATTTGAAGTTGGAGAGAAACACAAGACAGTCAAAGTGTACATGATAGATGATGATTGTGTGGAAGAGAGAGAGACATTCAAACTGGTCATAGAACCTCACAACATATACTCTCCTTCCAGTGAAGCAACAGTAGATATCATTGATGATGACAGTAAGTCTCCACACACATACCTTGACACCATATAACATTACACTGTGTCATGCACAGACTAGTACAGACATGTCATGTTTCAATACATGAAAGCCACACAAACAAATTCACATGCACATATACAACTAGTCACACAATTGGACACCAGCCAGCATTACACAATACTTGTATGTGGGTGCCATATACTGAATGTATTGGTTGTTAACACGTTGGACTGTGTACCAACAAACACTAGAACACAACAAAGAGGCTGGCTATGATATCACTACTTTAATTGCCAAATCCTTCCAGGTATACAAATTGGATTTTACTCACCACAAGACGGAGGGCAGGCTCTTTATGAAGATGACGAGAAAATGTTTGTAGTTGAAATAATGAATGGAAGCTTTCCCTCTGATGATGAAACAGCAAATATAACACTGAGCTTGGAGATTGTGGAATCAACAGGTAATTAAGAATAATCTCAGAAGCATTTCAAAACTGTTAATTAAATGTATCTCTGTGATTTCAAGCTATCATTATTACTTCATTTCCATTACAGATACCGCTGCTCCCCCTCATGTTGAAATGGTTACCTTCTCAAGTGGAAAAAATCGCACAGTCATCTTGTACAAACAGCGTAGCCATGACAACGACATCTCGTCTCTAGTAGGATTCCTGAAAGTGGATAAGACAGATAAAGTGGATCAGGATCAAGTGTACCTTAAGCCCAGCGTCAACATTCTTCATGTTCATCCACTGATGAGCTCTTCTATGGTATCTGTCATAGCTACAGCCACTCCAACAGGAGAACCCACTGCACCTCCTTTCATAGAGTACCATACTTCATCACAGTCCACTTCGATCAGCACCATTGTGCTCATTGCCTCCATCTCTTCCTTCTGTACTGCACTAGTCGTGGTTGCTTTCGCTCTCTTTGGGTGTTTCTTATCGTACAAGTACGGACAGAACAATGACTTCCGGTATCAGTACTTCAGGAGAAAGACTCCTCCAAGAGAGACTTACATAGTGCACGAGGTCGTCAATTCAGTTTAACTATTTTATAATCACCATTTTCATTTCAATCTCTTTTTAACAGACTGTAATACACATGTATTCATTTTTTGTACTAATTTATGTTCATTTGTATGTATCACTGTATGTGCAACTCATTATGACCTGTATAATATCTATACAATATTGACATGTTAATTTGGCATTTAACCTGTTTAATTATAAAATAATAATTATACAATAAATAAATTTAGCAACAAATTGCTGACACACTCAACCCTCTCTTAAACTATAAACAAATTCCAATCATACCAGGGAGTAGAGGTTACAGGAAATACAAGAAGGACATTCATAAGAGCATCACTCACTAGAACATACACTCTGTCTCTCATTCCACTCTCACAGCAACTAATACACGACTGACAGGTATGACATGGAGTCATGTTCCGTTAGAAGACAATTTGTCTGGCACACACAGATCTAAAGGTGCTCTCACGTCACATTTGGTATTTTTACCACAAAATGGCTACAATGTATTCACGTGTCTCTTATGTAAATGAAGAGACAGTTGATGTTAAGTTTTTATTAATAAAAGTGCAAGTGCATGAATCATGATTTAATATCTTTATTCATTTTAAGGATGGCCCCAGGGCTGGGGTAAGGCCTCATTTGAAAGAGGGGTCCATTAGCGGTTGTGTCCACACCAGTCTTAGCTTCTCCTTTATCTTCCAGACCAGACTGCCATGTTCCCCTTAAAGACAGGTTACACTGATAAAGAGAGGTTATATTCTATTTTTGAATTACCTTGGAGCATCAGAATAAGCAGCTGGATCCATTGGGTCTAGATCAGTATCTTCAGCTGTATATATAAACAAACACTTTAAAGTTATACTACAACTGAACTAACTAAATTTCTTTTTCTTTTTCTTAAAAGATGAAGGCCCTGACTTCCTTGAAAGCCTTTTCCTTTGCTCCTGCAGCATGAAGACCACACAAGATCAGTGTGTGTCACCATTTGATGTGATTACATGTAAGAGTGGCAACATGTACAGGTGCCATCAACACACGTGTACGTACCCACAGCTGCTGGTTCATATTTAAATATTACAAACACACAAACAAGTGATTAATAATGGAGGAAGTACAGATAGTGAATGGCAGCAACTCTTAATGAACACAGGTACCACTCGTAAAACCACATGTTAAATAAATGCATAATAATAGTATGAAATAATGAGGACCTAGAGTGTATGTGAACACACAATAAAGGAGCTAGTTACAAACACACAGAGAGAGAGACACATGAAGTAATACATTAGTGGCATAGGCACATGTACCAACAGAATCAGTACACCTTTAATGATATAACACATGATGGCTTGTTTGTAAGTATAATGCTCAAACTACACACATACACTCTTAAAACAATATACACATTCAATAAAGAGTAAAGGAGTACATACCTCTGCTAATGTCTGCTTTGGCTGGTAGGTAGCTGGATTGAGATACAAGTAGTTAATGATAATGTTATTGCTTTCTTTTACTTTTAGCTGGTGGGTACCAGGAAACTTCATTAGTTTTCTTATTCCAGAAATAGAAGTGATTCCTATTGAGAAGGGGGAGGAGGATCAGTAATGACTGATAGTACAAGATGGTGTAATGCATGTCCTAATCAGTCCTAACACCAAAGATTGTATAAACTATCAACAAATTCTTCATCATAATTCTAAGGACAGCTGTCATGTTATGTAACATTTTTATTAAATTTTTGGCATTCAAAATGGTTGAGCAGACAACAAGAGGCCAAACAAGAGCAGCAACATTACTTACAAAAATGACAGCACAAATACATGAACCAGCTCCTTCCCCCCTCTCTCTCTCTAAGACACATCTCAAGTAGGTAAACAGGTCGAGGACTGGAGGTCACACACACACACGTACACACACACACACACACACACGCACAATGTAACAATGTAGCAGTGTATAGTACAGTGTATATATGAAGGGAAAGTATGTTTATCTAAGGATGTGTTACAACTAGGCTGGTCTCCATTAACATTCCTTAAACAGAATCTGTTTACAAATGATTACCCTTTAATGTCACTGTAATAACTCCTTTACCAATAACGAACTGTCTCAAGCTAAGCAACACCTTACGACCTCTATATAATGGACACTCTCTGTTATACAATTGTGTCCTTTATGTGGAGGTTATTTTATACAGTAAGGAATGTAATTGGTACACTAGGTGCTGTCTGTTAAGAGATGTAGTCATTAACTTAGAAGGAAGAAATAAGGAAAGAAGCTTGAGATTAAATAATAATAATACCTCATCTACTAGGAATGTAACAATCAGCCTCCACTCACACAGTGTGATCATATACCAGGAATGCACACAATACACCATATAAGGAGTCACCGTTGGTAACTAATGAATGGTATCAAATATCTGAGGAATATAAGATATCACCTCAAGCATGAGCATGGACATGTATTGACCAGCCCCTCTGGAGGTGTGTCTATATAAGTAATGTAATACCTGAGGACTGAGATATCTGCTTGAGGTGAAGCTGAGGGCAGATATCAAGGGACTCAGGTATTACATTACTGATACTCACCTCCAGACACACACACACACTGGTCACTACATATTCATGAAGTGGTGAAATGAATTCTGTCACACAAGCAGTGAACACAATATCAAACAAGATAATTGAATACAACAACAAATAGTAATTGATACACTAACACAAATAAATGAATGAATGGTTATAGTAATTAGTGAAGGTATGTACATATAGACAACCTGACACCAAATTAATGAAACAATTGGATTAATTGAAGGGAGAGAGGGAGGGAGGGGAAGAGATAAATGCAATTTAATGAATTATGAGAATATTTTGGCTAAAGTTAATAGCAAATTTACTTCAAAGAGATAAAGTATAAGCAGCTAAAAATAAATATGAAATAAAATCAAAGAAATGACACCTTCAGATATCATTACACATCAGTTTACTAGAGGAGGGACTCAAGTTACTGGAAGAAGCCAGGAACAGGTGCAAGCATTCACCACTTGAAGGAATAAGCTCTTAAACAACATAAAGGCACCACATCATGACATCAGGTACAATTAACGAAAGAAAAATAATAAAATAATAAATAAATAAATAATATTTAATATTGCTATCATAATTAGACAAGAGAAGTGAGCATGAGTAGTGGAGATTGTAAGGCTTCTATTAGTAAAGGAGCTTTGATGAGTAGCAGCAGCTGTGTAGTGATAGAGAAGGCTGTGGTCTCTTTGGGTTTGAAGAAAGGTCAAGGACCTGAGACTAACTAAGAGGAACAGTTCAGGAAACATGACAGACAAAAGTGGATATGGAAGCAGGAGCCATTATTGACATAAAGACAAAGAGGAGAGAGGGGGTTTACCAGCTAATGTAATAAGAACAATATACTACAGGCAGCAACTGCAAGTACTAGTATGAGTAGTAATAATGAATTAAGAGAGGGAGAGAGAGAGGGAGAGGCAGACAATGTGGACCTAATTAAGTAATCGGTTGTGATTTGAACAATAGCTACGCACGACAACAAATAACACAAAAGAGGTTGATTAAGGGTTAAATATACTGACGATCATCCATTAGAAAATTAATAAAAATAAAGAATTCTTTTCATTTTTGGCAAAATTTGGCCAAAGTCTGTGCACAGGGACTTTGACCTAATTTTATAGAAACTTTTTAAAATCGTAAAAAATCCAATTTTGATCAGAATCAACTCAAACTTTCTACACAACATAAGTACATGTATATGTATCAGAAAATGTAATAAAATTGGAAAATTCTCACCATGACATTTTTGGCAAAATTTGCCTGAGACCATGTACTATAGTACAGGGACTTTTGTCCGATTTTGGAGCAACTTTAAAAAATCATAAAAAATCCAATTTTGATCGGAATCAACTCAAACTTTCTACACAACATAAGTACATGTATATGTATCAGAAAATGTAATAAAATTGGAAAATTCTCACCATGACATTTTTGGCAAAATTTGCCCGAGACCATGTACTATAGTACAGGGACTTTTGTCCGATTTTGGAGCAACTTTAAAAAATCATAAAAAATCCAATTTTGATCGGAATCAACTCAAACTTTCTACACAACATAAGTACATGTATATGTATCAGAAAATGTAATAAAATTGGAAAATTCTCACCATGACATTTTTGGCAAAATTTGCCCGAGACCATGTACTATAGTACAGGGACTTTTGTCCGATTTTGGAGCAACTTTAAAAAATCGTAAAAAATCCAATTTTGATCGGAATCAACTCAAACTTTCTACACAACATAAGTACATGTATATGTATCAGAAAATGTAATAAAATTGGAAAATTCTCACCATGACATTTTTGGCAAAATTTGCCTGAGACCATGTACTATAGTACAGGGACTTTTGTCCGATTTTGGAGCAACTTTAAAAAATCATAAAAAATCCAATTTTGATCGGAATCAACTCAAACTTTCTACACAACATAAGTACATGTATATGTATCAGAAAATGTAATAAAATTGGAAAATTCTCACCTTGACATTTTTAGCAAAATTTGCCTGAGACCATGTACTATAGTACAGGGACTTTTGTCCGATTTTGGAGCAACTTTAAAAAATCGTAAAAAATCCAATTTTGATCAGAATCAACTCAAACTTTCTACACAACATAAGTACATGTATATGTACCAGAAAATGTAATAAAAAATGAAGAAATACCCTCCTTTTATATTTTGGTGAAATTTGACAAAAGGCTATGTACTATAGTACAGGGACTTTTGGCCCAATTCATAAAAGATCCAATTTACTAATACCAATATTAATATTGTCCTAACGTTTTATCATCCCGTACTTGGAGCCAATCTTGCGGTAACAGCATCACAGCTTCAGGTGCTTCATTCTGCTACGATTCACAAACATAAAGGAGGGCATTAATTAGAATAACCTTTGGAAGTTTTGGAGCAGTAGCAGTAGGTTTGGAGGCCACGCCCCCTCCATACCTCTGTCTACAGTAATCAGTACATTCATGGTAAGGATTGACTGCATTAGGACAAGAGGAGGGAGAGGGAGGTGTATCTATGATCCCTTTCTTTAATAATCTCTGTCTAAGAGCTGGAGGTAAGTCTGCCGCCATTTTGAATAATATTAATTATTAATAGTTATTATTAATTAAGTAACTATTAACTGGTTTGTTAATATTAATTTATTATGAAGTATGATAATGAATAATAATTATTTTTGCTGCGCCATACAAAATTTTTGTTCTTTAGTTAAGTGTGGGGCGAGATATGTAGACTACTGAACTAAATGCAAGATAACCCACTGAACTAAAAAAGATTAAAAATTATTTGAATCACTTCATGATCATTTTATACCTGCTACTGCTGGTATTCCCAGTTGATACACAGTTACCTAATGATGATAATAATAATAATGATAATAATAATGGAGCCATTCCTCTTACTCAATGCTTTAAAATGAAGTCTGATGCTTCCATTGTAACGGACTTTTGGTGGGCAGCCCAAAGATTCCTCATAATACCGGCCTGGTGATACAACTGGAAGCTGAACAGAGAAATAAAAAATGAAGTTTAAATTAAATGATTCCATACCCATTTCCGGCTCCCATAGTAAGAATTACTGCTACACTTCCAAGTTGAGCTCCAATTGACAGATCCAGGCTGACCGATAAACCCTAGCTTTAGTCTCACGTCTACTGGCTGATAGTCTAATGCATGGTCTGCCTTGTAGTCAATGCTGAACATATAATTGCAAGGAACTGGCGATGGTATGGACATCATGATGTAGCTAGCTTTCCTAGGGTATGCAGTGATGGCTTGCTGTATGTACTCCAGTTGAACTGGAAACCTCTTGCCGCTGTGACCTTGTTTCTTGTACAGGACCTTTCTTTTAAAGAATACAAAGGGGCTGGTTTGAAGATGAGAGAATGAAGAGAAAGATGGAGGAGGTGGAGAGGTAGAGGGAGGAAGAGGAGCTGAGTAACGTGTTGAGAATTGATAAGAAGTGACAAATAGAGTGTGAGGTTCAATATAAAGTGATTGACTGGAGGAAGACCAAGGCAGTGGAGCCACTCTCCTTATACCAGTGTAATCCTGGACTGCAGCCCAGGAATGACTTATAGCTGAGTTTGGTGTTCCTATCAAACTGCAAAATAAAGAATAACAACAACAACAACAACAACAACAACAACAACAATAATAATAATAATAATAATAATAATAATAATAATAATATACCTTATTTTTATGGTCAGTGGACAATCACAAGTATTTAGCAACATAAAGGTGATGTTGGTGTGTACAAAAGCTGCTTCACCAATCACTGGCTGACCACGAAAACCATTTGAACTATAGCAACTGCAGCTTGAGGTCATGTACTGCCCACCATCCACAGTAAGGTGAAGCCGTGATCCATTGACTAACATACCTAGTAACTGATACATACTGGACTCTGGTGACCCTCCATAAAACTGACACCCTTTACACTTTAATGATCCCTAAATTCATGATAAAGTTACATCATGTATTACTGTACTGTTTCTTCCATGAATCTGATCATGTATCATGATAGTACAGACAGGGCACAATCCCTCTCTTTGATTCTTACTGTTGTTACCTTGTAATCAAACAGCAACCTGTGAATAACTTTATCAGGCGAGCGAAGGAGAGCAAAGGTACTGATCATTAAAGGCAGAGTCCTGTTAAGATAGTACTCCTTCATTGTTGCTTCCTCATTGTAAGCATAGATAGAGTCTATAGCATGGCCTGTGATTGAGACAGGGAGATATGTCCCATACTTCACTAAAGCATAAGATACTGTGGTCTCTATAGCATTGAGGAGTGTCTAATAATGATGAGACAGTGCAATAGTGAAGATTAGCAATGAAAGAACTGCACTGATACATGCACCATGAATATAAGCATCATGTTGTATCTATACCTCTGGGAGAGCATTTTCATTGAAAGCATGAAAATCAATAAAGTCAATTAGTTCTTTTGGTAGAGCAGAATCAATCAAAGGTTGGATATATTTATGCCAGAGTAGGCCATTATCTCTAAAAGAGGAAGGACAGATGAAGGACAGAGAGGAGGTGGTGGAGGTGTTGGTAAGTAACATGTCATGTACATGTACAAGGACTGCATGTGTTGCAAGCTGAGAACATGTGTTCCTCTTTTAAAGGTATTGTATTCAACAATCAATATCAACTATACCTCATTTCAGAGCTAATGGAAGTACTAGGAACACTGCTCACCTAAGGTGGATACCAAATGACATTATACAGACACAACTCATTGCATGTACTTACTGGCCCACCAATCTTGATATTGGGCCAATTTGATTTTATGCTTTTTGCTGATGAAAAATAAAGATCAGCATAATAGGAACCATTCTTATTGTCCTTCCAAAATGTCTGTGGGATAAAGGAAGAGGAGTTGAGTATTAATTATATCAATAATGATCTCTCACAGTGTCTGGCTCATTCCATATGTGGACAGTATCAATACTTGGATCAGCTTTCAGTGCTAGTTCTAAATACCCAGTGATTAGTGTTGTCCACCAACTGAAGTCCTTCTGGTTGCTATTGGTACTAGCTTTAGGTGTGCCTGCTTCACTGAAGCAGTTCACCTTTTGACAGTGAGGATTACATGTACCCGGAATGTTCCTTATAAACAGAAATGGACGTGCGCCACTTTTCCTTATACCACGACTGTAAAGAGCATAATAATCAGAGGTCATCTTGAATTTACTGTAAGCATAGCCAGATTTGAACCATTGCTTCAGCGAGGAGAGAGTGTGTCCAGTATATTGACTAGTAGGTAGGACAGAGTTCAGTGTAGTACTGCCGACTCCAACTGTGTCTATATTGTGATCCGACAGAAACTGAGAACCAACTGTAGTGGAAAAATCTAAAGAATCTCTGTATGCACTGTAAAATAAATACTGTATATAATTTTTTTAATAGTATTAGAGAATATAACACATGTGGTATTGTTTTTATTATTGTTGTTAGATCTATGAAGTTGGTGTTTGTATTCATAATCTCACGTTATTCCAAAAACTGAAGGTACAGAAGAAATGCCATCCACTTCAGAGAGAGTGTTTGCATAAACATTAACGTATATCCTATCACTTCCTCCATGACAAGCCTCCAGACAGAGAAACAAGAGGAGAAAGAGCCTTACTGCTACAAACATCTTTTCTGCTGCATAGTGTAAATTAATGGGCGTGGCTGATCATTTAATTATTAATTAAACTAATAACAATAATTATCAATGAATATTAATTAGGTAATGCTTTGCTTCCAAAGTGTTACTCTTCCATTTCTAAATGCTCCATGTCCACTTCCTTCTCTCTTAAGGACTCCATTTGCTTCTCTAAGTGCTGCTAGTGACAACGGCTCCCATTGACTAGGAAATGTCACATTATTCTTTGTCACAGCAACAACCTTCTTCTTAGTAGTAGCAGTACTTTTGGATACAGCAGAACCACTGTTCATTAACCTACTGCTATTCCGTCTTTGACTCCATGATGTTAATGGTTTTTTTATTGAACCTCTTTTTTTGCAACCTTCCTCTGATTGAAAACAGTAAGTCCTTGGCAATGCGCTGGTTGCTCTAGTTTTAGCAACAGGACCTGCTGGGCTTGTCTTTAATGGTGCTGCCCTCTTGCTGACTAGCAATGGAGCAGGAGCTGATTGTGGTCTCTGTCCTTTGCTCTTATCCAACCCAACAAACCAAGCATTGTTTCCTATGTCGTCTTTATCTGGTCTTTTCTTTGCTGTATTCTCAATCATCTGCTGGCCACATTTGCTCTTTAAGCTTGCTGAGGATTTACTCAGTCGTAGTATGTACTCTTTTGTTGGTTCTGAAATAGTCCTTAAGGTTTTCAATGCAGCTGTTAGAGAGATAGTCTATAAGTAATTTATGGGCAGCATTACATAATGACACAATTACTAACTTACCTTTCCAGTGTAGTTATCACAAGCTGTTGGTTGATCATATAATTCAAGGCATTCTTTAATTGATGGACATGACATCATCTAGAGTGTAATATCAAACACACAATGGCAGTCTATCTCTCTCTCTCTCTCTCTCTCTCTCTTACCTTCAATCTCTCCAGGTGCTCCTGCATTGGATGAAGCTGTTTCTCCGAGTGTGACTTCATATGTAGCCACATTTCCTCAATCTTTACTTGCTCCATATGGCTCTGCTCTACTGTGTATTCCAGTGACAATAAATCAATGCAACTCAGTCAATAGGTGTCACTTACTTCCTAAATATTGTAATACTTTATTCTCAGGAAACTGGGGCAGCACTGGACTAGCTGGACCACTGCCTTCATTGATGGAGTGCACATCATGAGGTATTCTTATATAAGAAGATGTCAATGGTGTCTTTGACCTCCTGCTAACTGGAGCAGCTGTGCTTCTTCTCTTTGCTTCCATAGGCTCCTGTCCTGTGGTATCATTTTTAATGTGAGTATCAGTGAGTTGGATCATTGGAGCTGATACTGAGGGCTTTAGTCTTTTTGTTACTGATGGAGCTTTATTAAAAGAGAGAGAGAGAGGGAGTAGATAAATTAGGAAAATGATCACAATAATATGTACATTTATAAGTGGACTTCTTTCTTCCTTTCAGCTCTAGTTCCACAGCTAACTGCTCCATCTCCTCTTTCTACACTTACATTATACTATCATAATGGATTCTGTGCATACTTCTTTTTTCTTTTCCATTTTATAGCATCGTATTGCTTCATTTTGTTCTTGTACTTTACTAATAAGTTGTCGCTGTAGTTCGACCTTCTCTCTCAGTTTAGCATGTCTTTCTTCTTTATCTTTTGCAACGATAGACTCCCAAGCTTTCAATATAGCATCAATATGCTGTAGAACAACAAGAACTGGTCATATATAGCATTTCTTGCAACAAAATACTCCAACTTAGCATACCATAATTACTATTATAATAATGTCAATGAACAGTTAGTTACCTTTCTATGTTTTTCTTTCTCTGCTCCAGTGGTTCTTCCTTGATTTTCCTCATTGCCCCATTTCGTTCCTCCTCTTGAGTCTATGAGCCTCCTCCTCTCCTCAGTCCCTCCATTGCTCCCCGTCCTAACTCTATAAGGTACTTCTATACAGGCTGCAGTCATTGAGAAGTACCCAAAGTGATAACGTTGCCTAGCAACATGTAACCACGCCTATCAAAGATGTACGGATAACAAAAACGGAAGTTTACGAAAACCACGTGTTCTCACCCACGTGACAAAACGTGGCTAGGAATGTATATTAAGGTTATAATTAACTTTAATATCAAAATGGCTGGGGATCATCGCTTGATGTCATTGACGGAATATCCTCCAGAGGCCCTGGACCAGTGGATACACGAGATAAAGGACGTGTCACGTAAGAGAATCACCTCCAATAGACTACTGAATACCTTTATTAACCTCATCCAATGTCTTTACTAAATATTGTACACTTCTCTCTTTCTCTCTCTCCTCAGATAATGAGCTTAAGATCAAAATGAGTCAAAAGTCAGTGAATGGTGAACACTTCACTCCGATACTTAGAAAGATACACAACATACTACAACAGTGAGGAACAACCTGATGACATAGTGTGATCCTGTATTGCGAGATTTGATTGATTTTGATCTCTTGATTTGATTTGATTCTAATCTCTTGAGTATGATTCTGATTCCTTCCTTAGGTTAGCAATAAGAGAGTGGTACTATCAAACTGGGCATGAGCTAACGCTTGAATCTGACAAAGAGGAGAGACTTCAGTTGGCGCTACGTCACCTCACCACTGAGACTGTACCAGCTGTCATTATGCACCTCAGTAATATATCAATGAACATTGAAGGTACTTCATAATGTACATCATTTAAAAGAACATATGTATGGACTGATATCTCTCTCTAGAGATGAGCAAGGTTCTTCTCGATGTTATTTGTTACTTGATGTCTTTGGATCCTTCTTGTCCTCTCTCTTACCCAGTAATGTTTGCTTCTTGTCTTTTGTATGTTGATAGCTCCGGCTGGACCTCAGGGACCGACCTCATCATTAATCACCTTTGCTACTATGCTTTGCCCATGAGTATTTGTAAGTCCATGTCTGCTGTATGTTCATGATGTCTTTATTGTTCTCGTTAGTGTATTCCGATAAGCTTAAGGGTAGATCTGACCTCTTGAGTATGTCCGCTACTCTAATGCTAGTGTTTGATAACCAGTCATGTGACCTGAGGCACCACATGTTAATAATGACGGTATTCATGATGATTAAACTTAACGTTTGCACAGTAAATGAACACATTTTAAATATTATTTTATTATTTATTTCACAGGATTTGTTATCAGTTATAGCATATGGTACCCCCCGAGCTCGTTCCAATGCTCTTAGATTGTTACTCCATTATTGGCCACTTGCTTCATCACAACACTTCACGTATAACGACCCCTTCAGCAACCTTGGTATGGGGCCCCCTGGGGACTGAATATTAGTTTTATTATTTATTTCTTATTTAGAAATACCGTGTCCTGATTGTGAAGCTACAAGGTGCAGTAATCCAGCTAGTTATGTGAGTTGAGGGGGCCCCCTTACTGATAATATTAACCCCTGGGTCCTTTATTACATGTGTTATTGTACAGTTATGTCTGGAGGGTTCCTGTACTACACAGTTCAGCAAGTTGCACAGTAAAGACGGGAACAAGAAGCTCTTCTCATTATTATGCTCTGAATGTGACAGTGTCTTTCACAGGTGGATATTACTGTACATGTACAGTATTTTATTATTATTGTTATTGTTATTATTATTATTATTATTATTATTATTATTATTATTATTATTATTATTATTATTTGTCTTTTTGTAGAAATATTTCTGATAAGCACAAAAGACTCAAACTAGCCCAGCCTTTGCGTAATTAATGAGTGGGCGTGGCTGATTAATTTTAATAATATTTTTAGGTGACGTGAAGCCGAATTGTGAGTTGCGTAGAGAGTGCGTGAGCAGTGAGGGGGAGGGGTCTTCTAAAAGTGCCACTGTCACTTGTTTTGGTGAGACGTGTACGGCAATTCAAAATGGCCACCCCATCAGACTCTGTAATGATTGCCACCAGGAGCAACACAAGGGGATCACTCAATCTGATCTTCATATTTATCAGGGTTTGTGGGCGGGGCTTGCACCTATTTATTAATTAATTGTTTTTAGTTGGTCCTCAAAATCCGTGGACTTGTCAAGACATGGCAGCTGCTTCTGCTCTTCTTGAAGCAATCGGAAAGTAATTTGGATATTAGTATATTATTAGGTTATTATCAGTATATTATTGGTATATTATTAGGTTATTACAGACCCCTCCTGGTCATTCCAATACACGTAAGGACAGTCAGAGGCGGAACTCGTCCTACAGCAGTGGCCCTGCCCCTCGTTACTCTCTAAAGGTGGACGGAGGGAGGGAAGGTATTCTGATGCTTAAGCAGTATTGTGTTCTTGTAGGACCAGTCAAACAGGTTTGTCTAACCAGATACATGTACCTCATTTTGAACCATTACATGTATGTACATGTTCAATGGCCACAAATTTGCCAACTTGAAATGAATGATGGGAAGTGTTTCTTTGTGTAGGGGAGGGAGAAGGAATGGCTGGAACACCTCATCGCTCTCTTGCTGGAGTGGCTGAGACTGTTCAATGAGCTGGTACAGAATATCATGAGGGACTTCTCTGATGATTTTAATGGATCTTTCATGCAGTTTCTTTCATCTGGTCACAAATGTAATAATAATAATTATTATAACGATAATAATAATAATAATAATAATAAATTTTAAATTTGTATTCTCTTTCTGTAGCATCTGAACATATTTGTTCTAATCAACGTGAACTTTATTGTTTGATAATTGATGTAAGTCGCTATTATTATTGTTTATTATTATTATTATTATTATTATTAATTATTTAGAATGCTATCCCATGGTTAAAGTCAGTATGTGATACAGGTAACACCAGTTGCATAGCAACCCCTCTATTACCTCATCTCAGTGGACACGTACAAGTAATGGAATCCATTAATCAATAAATCAATTAATTAGTTAATTAATTATTCATAGGTGGGTGAAATGTGGAGTTATTCTACTGATCCGATACTCAGACACAAGAGAACCTTGTCAATATTAACGCTGATAGTGAAGAGCTCCCTCCTGCCCCCTGAAGCTATGGATCAGGTACTCTCTTTAATATTGGCCCCCTGGGGTCTGTTTTTGAATGCAGTATCCCAATAGTTCCATTGTCACAAAATCCGTAACACTTTATAATATCTGGTTAATGATCAACATTATTCTTGTTATGATTGTTATTTTTAAGCAAGACTATGGTTTGTTTGTTAATCTTCCTTTTACAAGTTCACAGCATTATTTTATGTAGCAATGATCATAATCTTGTACTGGTCCAGTCTGGTTGTAATGGATTAGTTAATGATAGAATTATTAATTGAGTTGTGAACTAGACCAAATCTTGTTTTGGTTTGTTAATTCACTGTACAACTGTGGGAGTGCTATTTTATCAATTAATGAATATTAATTCCTGCAATTGTTTCCAGCTATACAGTATACATGTATTTGTTTATTTGTTTGTTTATTTGTTTGTTTGTTTATTTATTTATTTGTTTATTTGTTTGTTTGTTTGTTTATTTATTTTAGTTGTATAATGAGGTGATGCCTCAGTGGATGGATCTGTTGGTAGAGTTGAGATCTTCTCCCGGGGAAATGGACAAACTCAAGGATCTCTTCCAGTTAGTTACTCTTAAACCTATCACCTCATTCTTGCCCCTCCCCTGCCACGCCCCTTCCTCTTATAGCACACTCTTCCCAACTGATCTGGTTCACGATATTCGTATCAAAAGATTTGAGTTCATTCGAGAGTTGTTCTCCCAACGAAGCTCAAAATCAAAGCAAAGAGCACTTCACTGGCTTCAGGTAAGCATGTGCTGTTGAGCCACACCCAGTGACCACACCCACCCACCCCAGGACCTATCCCGTCTCTCAGTGATTGTACCCTATACCTCTCACATATTTGAGGGAGCCATGCAACATCGGAGGTTCCGCAGACAAGGGTCCATGGACGCTGGAGGAGGACAGGATGAAGGCCAAGAGGAAGAGGAGGAAAGTATTTTCATGAAACCTTCAATTAGAAAGTACGATATTGATCAACATACAGCTGGTAGTTTAGGAGGAGAAAAGGTTGATGATTTTTTTGTGTAGCCATTCTGCTAAAATAAAACCGGCCATTTTGAACCATTATGTGGACACATACAAATTCACCAAATTGAAACCTGCCAATTCCAAATTTCTCTCTTCTAAATTACCAGCTGTCACTGACGATAAATACATGTACATGTACATTCACTCAGGGAAAGCACTGGGAGTATCAGTGGATACGAGTCTGAATCAGGTCTAGTGTCACAAACCTCAATGGAAGGAACAGACACTCTCCAGGTCATAGTCCAGATGAACAATACACTCCCTAGGTACATACTGATGCTGGATATCTGGTGCTCTCAGGTTGGTACTGGAATGGAAGTATGAGTATGGAATCATGACGAGCTGTACAGGCATCAGCTATTATTATGTTTATTATTATTATCGTTATTGTTGTTATTGTTGTTAATAGATGGTGCTAGATAGAAGCAGTTTAAGTTATGAGGTGTTACAGAAGTATTTGGTCTTTATGTTGGAGACTGATTGGAAGACAGATCATTCACTACATGACCACCACACCACCACAACTAACACCTGTATATTCTGTCAGGTAGGCTAGCGGCCACACTCCACTGTCTGTTATATCCCAATATGTAGGCCATATCCCTCTGGTTTAGTCTTTCTCTCAGGATCATCAAGGACTACATTAATGAGGAGGAGGAGAGAGATGATGTCCCTGACGGGTGTAGTACCCCCGTCCTCCCTAAAAGAGGGCGTGTCTCTATAAAGTTTGCTATTCCGACTCTTAAACGGAAACACACCCAGCCTGATCTAGGCTCCACAAGTTCAGCTGCTCAAGATGATTATGACGACCAGTGGGGGGAGGGAGGGGCTGGGTTTGAGCCTCCTAACAGGAAGAAAGGGTCAATATTCTCTAAGAGCAGTGCTGACACAGCAAATACTGAACCACTTGAGGAGGAGGTTAATAAACCGTCCCCTCCCACTTTTATGCACCGTGACCGACGCCCACCTATAATGACTCGTTACTCTGTTTCTGAGTTTGAGCTGTTGTCTTCAGTAGCTTCTACTCCTACTGGGGGCGGGGCTGCCACTCCCACGGGACATACCTCTTCTAAACAACCTGAGGTTACCTCAAATTTATATAAAATATTTAAGTTATCAGTAAAGGTACGTGTACATTTGCCATGTGTATATACCTTTAGTTGTGTTTGTATTTATTAGAAATTGAATAATTCTTATCATCCTGACACCATATTGCAAATAATTCATAATATTCATTTACTGGTGACTAGGGGGCATGTCCTCAATGGAGGAGATGGTGTGTTGAGTGTAGTTGAGGATTCACAGCATTTAGTGGAAAGGTTAGAGGACCACGCTACAGATTCATATACATGGTCTTATGGTCTGTAGAAAGTTTGAGCTGATTCCAATCAAAATTGGATTTTATACGAATTTCTTAAGTTACTCAAAAATGACTTCTTTATCCTCTAGTACACGTACATGTTCATGATAGTGTATTGCTCCATTAGGTTGTGGAGGATCATGGAGTGTGAAGTGTCTTATGTCCATCAGCATTGTGTTGACCTGTTGCTAGCTGTTCAAGATGGACTCTTCTCTATTGATGGGGCAGTCAATTCCGTTCAATCTTGCTACTTATGGAGGCTCCTTCACGATGGGCTCTCCAACAAGAAGTGGACTATATTATTCAAAACAGGTAGAGCTGTACTGGTACGCATCACAAGTTAATGTTATTTCCTGCAGCTGATAAGCTCACGATGATGCTTCAGTATATCTCAAGACATGAAGTCCCTGTCTACATATTAAAACTTCAGCCCCACACGGAACTGATTCTTGGGTACGGGTTCTGTAAGATGATACGACTGGTTCAAGACAAAGACACTAGAGTATCCACCAGGGTCCAGTACTGTCTTAATAATATGAAGCAAAGAGCGTTTGAGGTGGGTGTGGTTGCATGACCCCTCCCAGTGGGTGTGGTCATTAATTAACATTAATTAGGTTGTCCGTGGGTTTATGTTGACGTTATTCACAAAGTGTCCAATATACAGAGGACTCGTCCTTCAGAGCCTCTCCTTACTTAAGAACTCTGTGACTTCGTTTCCTTTCCTTTCGATTGAGTTCTTTTTTAAATTATTGAAAGAAGAGAATCCAAATATGGAAGAACTGCTACCACAACATTCACAAGTATCATTAATTAATTATTATTTAATTAATTATTATTTAATTAATTAATTATCATGTTTAGTTTTCGAAGAAGGTTTCTGATGCCAGTGTTTTAAGTGGGAGTGGCCGTGGGCCCCGCCCCAGTACTGCCTCATCAGCTTTCAGTGCCCCTGGTTACGATGAGGAGGACAATAACAACACTAATAACACTAGCACTGATACTGCCCAGCTCCACTGTGATACACTGTCCCTCCTTTTAGA